TACTCATGCCTTGTGTGCAGTACAACTTGTACTTGTAAACTTCAAATTTGAAATTTTGTGCAACTTATTATTTTCTTACAAATTATTTCTACAACTAAAATGTGATTATCTGGCGCCACACGAATCACTTATTTTTATGATACATTAATATTCAATTCTAATGGGAGATACCCGGTTAGGGAAAGCCCCGCTGGTCGACTTGTAGATCGGCACCGGATTTCACCATCCAGCGGAGAGAGATCACCGCCACCTCTCGCGTTGAAAACTTGGAATCCACTTGCGGGACTAGTGACCTTGGTGATTGGAGAGTCCGGACGCACTAATTAATAAATCAATGCAAATGTTTTATTTGGTAATAAAATAAAAAAAAGAAAAATTATGCAAAAGCCTCTCCTCTCGTCCCTCTGAAACCACTGCTGTCACTGATAAAATATTCTAACTGCTAGATAGCGCTGAGAACTGCAAGTGACAATCGTCAAATGACGCCTCCCGATAACAACAGTACACAATCATCATGACTGCCGTTACTCAACGACTGAAGGATACTATATTTCAGCCAAAGTAGAAAGCTAGAATCAAAATACAAAAGAACAAGAAGTAATTCTTGAGGGATTACTTTTGCCACCTTCTAAGGCTGTAACAAACTTCTTTTAAACCGATCCAGAGAGTTGTCACTGTATATAAACATTCTATTTCATATCGTAATACGCCAGTAAAACTAAATACCCGTTGTTTAAAACTGAATAGTCATAATCTCACTTTATAAAGGGCACTAAAAATAAAATTCTATTCCTTCGACAAAACGATGTCGTAGAGTGAATTCTGATCTTGTTCAGCCTAATTTAAACTCAGAGATTTAATTGCGTAAACATTTAAAGAGAGGAAAAGTTGAGTTACTAATGATTTTGTGAAAACGTTTGGCCTGAATTACCGCATTTCATGGTTTGTTTTCATGGAAAGTGAAGAGAAATCGAAACGCCAATCAATTTGATGTATCGCAGATGAAGTAAATGAGACTCTGGCGTGACGTTGATGGTGTGGCTTGTAGCGTCATGTTCTTTACATCTCTTTTTGTACTCTGCTGGTTGAATATGGGTTTCATGTACCTCCAGAACTTGCAGCAGCTGCTGTGGACACCCCCCTAGCGCAAGGCTGCGAGAGTAGAATGAAAGGCGCCCCGGTTCATTCGGTTTCTCTCCCTCCTCTGCGCCCCTTCCTTACAAGCCCCGCCTCCTCCATTTGCATGCACTCCCTTGCTCCATTCCACCTCCCTCTTGCCTCTTCCGAAGTCGAATTCGCCATCACCTAGCTATGCCCAGCCGCCCCTTCCCGCATAGGCCCGCCACACCCGACCGATCCCCCCTTCGCACTTCTCTCTGTCCAACCACCCTATACCACCCCGTCCCGCTCCACCCCATCTTGCTTGGGCTAACTTCCCCGCCACGCCAAGTCCCACCCCGCTCGATCCTGCCCCGCCCAACACCCCCGCTCAGTCGACTCACGACAACCACTCCATCCACTTTTATTCCCCGTTCGCCTTCCCGTCGACCCGCCGCGCACAGCCTCGCCCCGCCTCTCCTCACCTCTCTCCACCTCACCCCTTCTCGCCCCGCGCCGCCCCGCCTTGCCCCGGCTCTCCTCACCTCGTACCTCTTCACTCCACCTTCTCCCATTTCACACCACGACTCCTAATCCTTTCTCGTCCTGCCTTTCCCCGTCCGGCCCTCTCTCTGCATAGCCCCGCCTCACACTTTGCCATGACTCGCCATTCCCCGCTAGGCCCCGCTTCATTTCATCACGCATTGCCACGCCTCGCCACGCCACGCCACACCACGTCTCGTCACGCTTCGCCTCGCCTCGCCTCGCCTCGTCACGCCTCGCCTCGCCACCCGCCAACGCCCACAGATCGCCCTCGCCCGACGCCACGCCAACTGCCACACCACGTCTCGTTCACGCTTCGCCTCGCCCGCCACGCCGCACTGTCCTCGTCACGCCTCCCTCGCCTCGCCTTGGCACCGGTTCGTCACGCCCCGCTCCGCCACGCCACTACCAACGCCTCGTCCCGCCACGCCTCCGCCACGCCTCGCACGCCTCGCACGCCTCGTCACCCTCGTCCACGCTCTCCACGCCTTCGGTGCGGCGGGGGGCCTCGCCCCACGCTCTCGGACTACGCCTCGCCCCACCTCTGCCTCATCCCACATCGCGATCACCCTCCTCGTGTCGCTTCCGCTTCTCCGTTCTTTCCCCCACCTCCTTTCCAAATTACTCGTTCTTAAATTCACTTCAGTGTTCTCACCTCCTGACATCCTCCTTCCGTGTGAGATGTCTCTTTTCTCCCTCCTTTTTTACCCCTCTTCATTTCTTTCTCTCTTCTTCACC